TGTGTGTGTGTGTGTGTGTGTGTGTGTGTGTGTGTGTGTGTGTGCATGCGTGTGTGCTACGTACTCTTCAGAAACCACCCAAATATATTCATGTTTTTGTGTATGGATTTCTTAATCTGTATGTGTCTCATGTGTTTTATAAATGATGAACAGCAACGCGGTACCAGCAATACTGCAGTGAGCTTGCAAATACCAAAAAACAAGCCATAATAATGGGGACATGCAAGAGAATTGGGTTTATGAAAAGTTTACGATATGAACAACACCAAACTAAGCTAGAGGGGTAGCTTTGGCAAATAGTACAACGGAATTGACTACGGATAGGATGGTACACGTAGCTAGAAAGGATAGCTCAGCAAACGATAATGACCTCTAATCCTACTCTGAAATAATAATATATCATTATGTTGGGTACACAGACATTAACAGGGCATGCAATATGTACGGTACATCGTTGAACACAATTAAAAAGAGTACATAAATCTGCGGTCTTTTTGCCACTTACACACACCATGTCTGGTTCGAGATGTTTGTCCAACTACATTTCTTCTTCTTCCCTACAACCCCCCCCCCTCCCCATTTAAAAAAAAATCCTTCCTGACTCACAGCTCTGTAACGTTTCACTTTTGTGACTACATTATTATTATTCTGTTTCTGTATAAGTCGTTGTCTAGCAAGTCTTTCGCCTACCTTGATCTTCAGCCTGGGCACAACCTCCTCAAGCGGCGTTGACTTTGCCATGGTTCCTGCCACATTGAACGACGTGTTCTCTTGATCCAGAGCTTCCTTCTTGGCCACTTCATTGATCTCATCTCTCTTCATGGCAAGCAGCTCTTTGTGGATCACCTTCGAGAGAAAGAGAGAGAGAGAGGAGTGCACTATTACGATACCTTAGAGTCACAAAGCTTTATCTGGCAATTTTGGCCGTTTTGAGGTACAAAGTCCATGAGGTCAGAAACCAAATTGTTCTCTCTACTCGAGCAAAACTGTAAGATTATTCGGAGTCGTCATCGGGTTATTCAAAGAATTTCATTTGAAAAAGCTTGACATGTGAAACTCCAATTTGTAACGTTAAATTTCTCAAAACAAGGTACTGAGCAGAAAGAACTATGTAATTCTGAGGAAGCAAAAAATCTCATATAGTGTCATACTGGACTACTGAAAATATGGCACAGGTTCGAACCCACAATCATTCTGAACTTGGGATGTTTTGGGGAGTTTTCAGTGCTCTCCACCCAATTGGCTCGGTCCGATATCACAGATGGACGCAAAATTCGGATTTTGCCTCTTCAGTAGCGTAACAGTGATGAAAGGGGCGTTAAACGTATACAATTTCGCAATTTCGCCCGGAGGGAAGGGTTTTGGAAGCTTAAAGAGTGGTTTTAGGGTCTGGTGATTATTTTAGAAAAGTCCAACTCTCTGCAAGACGCATAAATGACATTTCGAAAGGGAAACAGGGAGTGCGATTGGGGTAGGTGGAGGGGTGACTAGACTAAAGGAGAAAAAAATTCGGAGAAAGGAATACCAAAAATAAAATAACAGGAAATTTAGGAAAGCAAACAGCATCCTACATGTCCGTTGACCTCCACCGTCCAATGTACCTTTTTATGAATAAGAAGATTATGAACCATGTATGTGTACGCTTACAAATTTAAGGGAGGAAAATGTTTCATATATATTCAAAATATTATATTTTATGATTATATGGGATGAACCAGAGAAGTAACGTTAGTTTTCAGTAGGCTAATAATAACAAAGGAAACACTGTGTTGTTGCTTTTTTCCACGTGGAAAAAAAAGAAGTTTTAAGGTAACCTGTAAAATTTATTTGTTTCATCCTTGATATAAACAAAATTTCTGGGCTTTATTTGTTTCATTAAATAAAAGAAAATTGCTTTCATCCTTGTTCACTCTCCTTACAAACACCGTTTCTTGAGGGGTGTGTGTGGGGG